CACTTACAGGAGCCACGGAACAAGATTTCAGGACTTGCGTGTGCGAACGCTCAGTATTCCTACTGAGTGGTCCAAGACAATCTGTGTAAAGTAATAAATACATAGAATGTGCAAAATACTCCACAGATTTATCTAATGTATTTAATTATAGAATTCTTTTTTTCCTCTCTTCTTGGAGTTGAAAACAACTAAGCCAAACAAATCTTAATACGACATCTCTATCCACTCCCATTTTTTGGTTTGCTGACTATCTGGAGATATTTTTGGTGCCTGAATGGGAGCTACATTACTTTTATGTGTTACAGGTTGTGTGAGTGTATGTGTGTGTACATGTATGTGGGTATGCTGCTTCCAGATAAATTGCTTTTAAGAGGTTAATAAAAGCCATAGTGGAGCAACCTGCAATTCTCTCTGAAAGAACTAAGGAAATTAAATTGGATGTATGTATAAACACAAAAAGAGACAGATAGTAACATTTTTTATTAAATATTACAGCGGATCAAAAAGTACAAAATATCTTCTGCTTGCTATGTGTTTGGGAAACTATTGGCACATAATACAGTATCAAAAGCATTAATACATACAATTTGGAAAACATACAAAAATTGAGTGTTTATACTTGGCTCAGGTTTTAATTGTTTCTCGTAGCGTTAAATTTAATCAATGCAAAAGGTTACTCAATAACCCTTTTATATATTTTTTTAAAATGAGGAACTCTGTGATATTATTGGGCCATTTTTTTTCTATTTACAGATAATTACCTTATCAAGCATATAACCTATAGTAACATAAATGACAAAAATGTGTACACTATGTACAAACAAAATAATGCTTAAAACAAGGCATGAACAGCCTGTAGATTACGCTGCCTTTGTTAGGTCATATTTATAATATATCGGGGAGGAGGAAATACATGTAGAATATCAAATATATTTACAGCAAACATCAGTTAACTGCTCAAGATATGCTTTAGTTCTGCAGGCCTGACTTTGGAGACACATTTTCCCCGTTCTAAATGATACAAATCATGAAAAGGGGCAAATTTGACCGTCCCTATTGCAATGTGTGCTGACCAGCTTTACTTAAGATTAAAAAGAAACAGATTGTGCATGCCCTTAAAATTACTTGGTACAAACGTCTCAGAGCTTTGAAGGTGCACATTAAAGATGCAGCTGCTTCAATGGGTCAACCCAAGAAAGACGCTGTATTTTTCAAGCTCACGTAGAAACATGGGGGGGGGGGTAACAGCTGCTCCTTTGAAAAGGTGAGGTGTCCCGGAGCAGCCATTTCCTCCACGTCTTTTTGAAATTGGTTCCCACACATTGGGGCAAACCTCATCCATCTTCTGGCCACCTCCAGTCTTGGAGCCAAAGGGGAGTAAGCAGGCATGGGAGACCCCAGTAACAGTCCCTGCCAGGGGAGGGATTACCATCCACATAGCCAGATCTTCCCCTGAGGAGGGGCAGCAGGATGCCCGCACGCACCCATACCAAAATCTCTAGAGCGGCTTTGGAATCCTGTTGCCCAGCTGGATGCAGAGGTGGCTCTTGGGTGGGGCGAGGTGACTCCGGGAGCAGGAATGTTCCTCTAACAAGGGGTGCCAGCTGAGATCTTTTGTTCATGCGGCGGTTCAACAAGCCAGGAGACGTATCGGTTTTATTGGGGGCTTTATTAAAATGGCAAACTGCTCTCTGTTCTAATTATGATCATAAGCATCCAGCTGCAAAATGCCTCGCCCAGTATAACGCCTTTAGTTTTTAGCAGGATGTTATATGAAAAGCATTTTTCTTTGTCTTTGATCTTACCAGCTTTCAAAATCTTGAAATCCCGAGCAGAGTGCATTTGAATTGCAACACTTCTGGGGAGCAAAGTCCACTCCAGAGATTTCTTCCTTTCTGCTGCCAATTAGATTTTGCTCATTCCTTTGCCCGTCTACTAATAACAATGGCTTGATTGCACAAAGAAAAACTTGTGCAATTTTATTCACTCACAAGGCCTCTTGAACTCAAACAAAGCCCCATTTAAGACACAAAAGTGGTTATCGGCCAGTAGAAAATTTAAGACTTAATAGAGATGGAATCTTAAAACAAAGAAAAGACAAGACTTCCTGCTGCCCCACAAGGGAGCCCGTCATGCCATCACTACTTCCTGTTTGCCCTCAAAATGGCCAAGATATCGTGGGTTTTCTAAAAATAAATGCATTTTTCTTCTGAACCAAAGATGGAAATAACTCTCCACCAGGATGCTTTCAAAACAGTCTTGAATTGTTTCCAAAATAATGCAGGGAAAGAGAGATGGTGATGGGCCAAGTCAGCCCATTGGTTACCCGGCCCAACTTTCAAAAACCAGCTCCATCCCCAGTGAGGGGTTAGGGTGACCATGGCAGGCGGGCCCCTTTGCCAGCTGCCCCCAGCCCCCAAAAGGTCAGACAGGCTGTGGGATGCAAGGGGAGATGGTCGTGGCTGATGGGTCTCCTACCACCAGCAAAACAGGGGGGAGGGACAAAGAACAAGGACAGGAGACGCCTCCAAGCAGTCGGTTTCAACCAGCCTTTCTGAAAATTATCCCGATTCCAAAACCAGCTGCAGCTCCCGATTCCCCAGCCTGGCCAGCCACCTGCCTCCCCACCTTGAGTACGATTGCTCGTGGTGTGCCACTGAGCAGGCCTTTTGATTGGGGGGGGGGGGGAGGGTGGTCTTTGTATTCACTATTCAGCCAATAGGAACACCACCCCCCTCCCCACCCACCCCGGCAGAGTTATGTGCTATGTTCTACAACCCTGCTTATGCATCGCCAGTTAGTATAATTATGCACAAGCTAAAAGCATTTAACTGAAGATAACAATAGCTATTACCGTGTTTTCCCCCCCCCCCAGTATATATATATAAAGTATATAAAGTAGCTTACATTATATATCGCGACAGGCTTTGAATTACAGTCAGTTTTAATATAGGATGTTGGGCATGCAGGTGAGTTGCATTTTAAGTAGTTGCCACTAGATCCCCCCATGGGTTGGGTGATTTACTGCCCTGGACCCAGATTCAGATCCTGGCCTTGCTGGGGGCTTCCTTCAACCTCGGCCTTTCTGCACAGAAGTCCAGGGCAAAGGTCAAGCAGGGGAAAGAGCGCCAGCAGCCCCTCGGAGGGGGCCGGATTGCCCTCTCCTGCCTGGAGGCTCAGAGCGGCTGCTGCGAATCTGGGCTCAGCTGCTCCCCAGAAGAAGCGGTGCCAGCCTGGAACTTCTGGTCTGGCTGGAGGCAAGCGAGAGTCAAGTCTCTTCTGGCCCCCCTGCAGTTCCACAGAAGGCCAGCTGGGAGCGCTCCTCGGCCTGAAAGGCGAGTTCTGCCCCATCCCTTGAGATCCCACTCTCAAAAGGGAAACCTCCCGCAACAGCTGGAGCGAGGCTGGATGTGGTCCGGAGAAGGATATGCCCTTCTGCTGCCGCCAGAGTCAGGAGGGCTGGCACAAACCCCCCTTCCTCTTTGATTATGACCTGAACCCCCATCAGGAGCCCCAGAGATGGTGGCTGTTGCTCTTTCGGCGAGGGAGGGAGGAAGAACTGGCTCCGTGCAAATTTTAATACGGATCTGTGTCCCCTGGATCAGAGCGCAGTTTTTTTTTTTTTTTTTTGGTTTTCACACTGCGCTATTCTTTTATGCAGTTCATGACTAAAACCACCCGTTTTTAAGGTAAAATTTCTTGAGAATTATGTACTTTGAGAGAAAGTATGTTAGAAATATAATTGAAACAGATGTTTAAATACATTTTTGTGTGGGTGTGGTTTATTCTTTTTATTCTGTTTTATCACAGTGGAATGCTGAGATGGGATGGAGGCGATTCATGACGAGCGCAGGCGAAATGGCGCACAGTGAGACAGGCTGGACCCAGATGGAGCCATCCAAGCTCCCCCCCCCTCTGTCTCCCACCCGCACCCCCGTTGGACGTGGCTGTCCTTCAAGCTGGGAGCTCCGCAGCAGGAGGAGTAGGGGCAGATAGGATGGAGGCGCACACACATATGCCAACACACCCAGGGCGACTCACAGGTGGGCCATAAAACGAGGGGCTTTGCCAAAGCCTCACACAACTTGTGCAGACTCTGGAAACCATTGTAATCGGGGAGAGGAAGACCGAGATGCTCCCTGGCCTGGCTCAGCGGAAGAAAGGAGTTGTAGGGTCCAAAGCTCCGAAGTTTTGTACATTACCCTGTAGCCGATATGACTGCTAGAAAGCCAAGGTTTAACGCATTTGTGGGGAATCTGGCCCAGATCAACCAACCAAGAACTCAAGCCATTAATGGCTAGACTAGCTCTTGGATAACCCTTCCTTGACTCTGCTTTGAAGAGGCCCAGATCAGCCAGGGTCTATATTCAAGGGGATGCCCTTGGGTGGCAGGATTCTCCCCTTTGTGTAATGGCTGTGGCTGAAGTTCTCGACACAGAGCTTTGCAACCACTTTGGAAACTCATCTGCATGCCAACGTTGCTGATGGTGCACGGGAGGCTTCCTCTGGGGATGCGAGATCGAGCGCTGCAGTTCGTAACCAACAGCCGGCCTTGAGACAGGAGAGCCGCAGGCGGCTGCTGCGCGGGTGGAGCTGCTCCGAAGGATCGAGACACAGGACCCAGCAACCTCAGGCTGACAGGAATTGGGACTTTTTGATCATAGTTGGCTTCTGTCCCATGAAAGTGGGTGTAACCTCCTCCCCCCAAAAGCTGCCTTCAAAATATAAGCAGAGGAGGCAAGGCAGAGAGAGAGAGAGAGAGAGAGAGAGAGAGAGAGAGAGAGGGAGAGAGAGAGAGAGAGAGAGAGAGAGAGAGAGAGAGAGAGAGAGAGAGAGGGAGAGAGAGAGAGAGAGAGAGAGAGAGAGAGAGAGAGAGAGAGAGAGAGAGGGAGAGAGAGAGAGAGAGAGAGAGAGAGAGAGAGAGAGAGAGAGAGAGATGCTTAAAGTTTAAAAAGCCCTTAATATCCAGAGCCTCCTTTCATGCACTAAAAAAACAAAAAAACAAAAGGAAAAAAAAATGTGGCAAATAAAAAGGAGCTGTTTAATTTTGTTTTCTTTTAAAAAAAACAGCACATGATACGCGGAAAATAAGAACTTACATAAATTATACAAATGAACTTGACACGGGTCGTTCTTGTTTCTGGAGCAGATATGTACAGTCTAGTTTGTGTTTCCTTTTTCTGTTCTGATAGTGTTAAGATGAACGTTGACACAGTTTTTCTATACATTGCATTGATTTGAACTCTGAAATGGTACCCAAAGAAGCAACCTCCCCAGGGGGCATTTCCTGCCTTCCTGATTTATCTGGGAGGTTTCAAGGCTGCTGCCCAGCGGTGGGGGGTGGAGGTGGGGCAAGCCGAGAGGGCCCTCCCTCTGAGTTGGGGCCCAGGCGCACCTCAGCCTCGGCTGCCAGGAAACCCTAACCCTCCGCAGCCCTTGGTGCAGCAGGAGGCGGACCAGCGAGGAGGCTCGGGGGAAGCCAGCAATCTGGCCTCAGGCCCAGCTTAAGCCGGAGCCATGTCTCAGTCGGACCCAAAGCGCTCAGCAGGGTGGAGCAAAACCGCTTATTGGTTATCACAAATATCGATATACTTGTTTGCGAGACAGGACTGCGGGATAAAAGGAATGTTATTTGCGGGATGGCGTCTTTCAGGAGCATTTACAACTTTGTGCTCGGGTGTACAGAGGAGAGCTGGGAGGGGGGGAAAGCAGGCTGGGGGTTCAGAGCCGCCAGAGGATAAACGCTGTTGTGCAAAAGGTCCCCGTAGGAGCTGCCCACAGGGGAGGCTGCCGCCAAGTGCCTGTAAAGCTGCTGAGAGCCGCCTGGGGAGGTGAGGAACTGTCTATGCACCATGAAGGAGTGGAGCGCAAAGGGTTGCAGAGGGGAGAGGGAGGCCTGGTTTTTCAAGTACTGCAGGGGGTGGGAGTAGCTGGCCACTGGCATGCGGCTGCCCAGGCCGCCGCACAGGGTCCCTGGGTACAAACTCGTGAAGATGGGGCTGGAGAGGGGGAACTTTTGGCCCTCCAGCGCCCCGCCTGGGGGTGGGCCATGCACTGGCTTGCTGCCCTCCATGTCCTGTTCTTTGGAAGGGGCTTCCTTTGGTAAGCGCAAGGGTGAGACTGCTCGGACCTTCTTCTCCAAAAGGCCTTTGTCCAGGTCCTCCAGGCTGCGCTTCAGAGGGCGAGCTGCCCCGATGCCCTGAGCCATGGCTTTGTGGCTCAGGACCGGGTGTACCATCCCGTCCAACTTTCTTGGGGCTGGCAGCTTGCAGGCCCTCAGGAGGGGCTCTCCCTGTTTCTTTGGGGCGGAGACCGTCATTGGGGAGACCCGACAAGCCTTTGGATTGCCATCCACACTTAGAGTCTGGCCGGCCAAGGAGTGGAACCGGGCGACGCTTTTGCCCTCCTCTACACCCCCGGGTGAACCCCGTAAGAGAGGGGCTCCCAAGGTTTTAGTGGTCTGTTTGTGGCCCCCTTTGGGAAGACTCAGATCTGTGGGCTGATCATCCAAGGGGGTTTCCCGGGAGGTCTTGTTCTCCGGCTGGTGCAAAGGCGGGTGGTAGCTGAGTAGTCGCCTGTCCTGGAGCTTATGGGGAGGGAACCCAGCAGCATTTTCCCCGTACACATCTCGGGGGAAGTACTTGGAGCACGGCTGGCTCCCCAGGTGCTCGGCACGCCTATAGAGGCTGTGGAGGGGAGGGGAGGCGTAAAAGTCTGCCAAGAAGCCTGGCACATGCGAGTGGTGCAGGGCCCTCCTCTCGTTCATTCGCTCCTTCATATCCTGGATTTCTGACTTCAGTGCGTAGGATTCTGCTAGGGCACTCAAATGCTGCTTAGAAAAATCACAACATTCGGAGTCTGGTTTCTTGAGCAGGGAGTCATGTCGGTAGGCATCGTGACTAGGCCTCCTGTCCTCCACAGTCTTGGGTTTAAAACTCTGCACGTGTTGGATGACCGATGGCCTGCTGACCGCTGCACTGTCCATTGAGTGCCTGGGAGACAGCAGTCCTGGCCTGCCGGACAAGAGATCGTCCTTGCTGCTGAACTTCTTCTTGCTGATCAGTGGTGGTGGGGAGCCATACGGGTAGTTGCCACAGGAAAGGGCTGCCCCGCTCACCTGGGAGAGGAGCTTCTTTTTTGCCAGAGGGGACATGATGCCTGGGTTGCCCTTGGAGTAGAGTAACGGGGTGGAGCCAAACCCGGGATCCCCATTGAAGGGACTTGGGAGGTCCTTCTCCTTGAACATGTCGAAGTTCTGCACCACCATCACTTTGGGGCTCTGCTTCAGGGCACTGTGGATGTCCTCGCTGCCCAACTGATCCACTTTCACCGTGCAGTTGGCAATGTAGTCCGCCATCTCTGGGATTTTATCATCTTCCATCTCGTTCTGACTTGGGAGGGGCAGCTGGAGGCTGGGGAAGCTGCTGAAGGGGATTGCCTGGGCCTCCTCCTCTTCCTCGAGGCCATCTGCAAAACACGACACCCCGCGTAGTTCCTGCTTGGGCTCCTCCTGCAGCTCCTCCAGAGGTGGGCTTCTGGTCATGGCTTCAGGGGAGACCAGAGATGCGTCGGCCAGAGGCTCGTCCTCTTCCAAGAAGGCCACTCTGGGGGCCACCGGAGGGGACCCTTCGGCAGAGAGTTTCATGGCTTCTGCCGCAGTCAGGTCCAATAAGCTTTTCTGCAATGAGCATTCCTGATTCTTCTCTTTGGCCGATGAACCCTAGTAAAAGATTTGGAGAGGAAACTGTGAGAAAACACCACCAAGACAAGCATCTTATCTGCAAACAAAGCCCTCGGCCTTTGCGCTGAAGCCTGCAGGGTTTTCTAGCGGCCTCCACAAGAGTTTTCCACTTGTGGAATAATTAGGACTCAGCCCCTCTCTTCTATCCCAGCACAAGGTGCAGGCAAAGCTACGTTCCTGATCTGCACCTTCCGTACTGTATGGAGACGCAGCAACCTTCATGGAAGGCCCACCCATCCATTAAGGCAGGGGTGTCAAACTCGATTTCATTGAGGGCTGCATCAGAGTTGCATTTGACTTTGGGGGCTGGGGTGTGTGTGGCCAGGTGGGTGGGCATAGCCATCTCGATGTCACTCATCAAAGCTCTGTTTTCAGTCATGACGGCCCTCCCGGGCTGTTTTTGGCTATGACAGCCTCCTGCAGCCCTCTGCCAGCAAGGGGAGGCCGTGTACGGCCCTTCCGAGCTCCCTTTTGGCTGGCAGAGGAACCGCAAGCCGCTCCTTCGCTGTTTCCAGGGTGGGCCCACCAGCCAGATCTAAGCACCCCGCAGGCTGGATCTGCCCCTGAGCCTCGAGTTTGACACCCCTGAACTAAGGGAACGGTCGCTGCTGCTGCTGTGTTCACAGAGCAGGCCAGGGAGAGAGAACCCCATCCCAGGCAAATGGATTCCTTTCATCTTTTAGATTTAAGCTTTCAAGGCTACCCAAGGCAGCCCTTTCTAAAAAGAAGGACCACCCTTAGGGTGGCTTGAAGGGGGTGGACCAAGGGCAGAGCTGAACGAAAACCAGGCCAAGAAATTGGGAAAGGACTCTGGGGAAGGCAAAAAACAGCCGAACCGGATGTCCGGAAATGGGCCTGTTTCTGTGTTCCGGAGGCCCCCTGGAGCCCGGAGGAGGCTGCTTTCGCCTCCCAGAGGCCCGAGGGAAGCCTCTGGACTCTGGGAAAGGTGGGAAAAAAAGCTCAACTCCCGGAAGTTCTGGCAGGCCACACCCAACTGTACCCAGTTGCTGGGATTTTTGAATCCCACCCTTGCCAGGAGGGGTACAAAAAGCTCCCTTCTCCCTTCTGGCAGGGCTGTCTTGGGCTTTCCCTGTGGCAAGCCTTCCTTCAGATCGTTTTGCTAAAAATCTCCCCCTTCTGTTTCGTCCGTCAATCCATTTACACAGAGAGGGATCCTGAGGCCATTGGTGTGCTTCACCTGAGAAGCAGCTGCCTGGCCATCCTGCAAAGCCACCTTCCTTCCCCAGCAGTCTTTGGGCAGGAGACCCTGACCACAGCATGCTGGGCTAAGGAGCTAAGCTGCTCTCCTTCTCCCTCTCTTCCTCAGGCCTGAAGAGAAAGCAGCAGGAAAGGAATCGCCTTGGAGAAGGACGGTAGGTAGGAAAGAAAGCTCCATCTTCTCCTGGATTTGTGCCTCTGCAGCTGCTTTTAAGTTTCCTTGGCTGTTGAGAACTTGAGGCTGGCAGGAAGAGTGAGATTTGGTGTTTGTCCAGGGCTCTCCAACCGTGGCAACTTTAAGACTTGTGGACTTCAATTCCCAGAATTCTGCTGGGTGAGGAATTCTGGGAGTTGAAGTCCACAAGTCTTAAAGTTGCCACAGTTGGACAGCCTCGTTTCAGTCAGCTCTCGTCCGCCAAGGAGAGGCCCCCGGTGATCCAAATGGAGTGGATGAGATCAAAGAATGAAAAGTTTGGGACAGAGAAACCGGAACAGGCAGAACAGACCTCTGCCGGGTCCTGGGGCTTTGGTGCCTCCTCTCGCTCCTTCTTGCTCTTCATGTGTTCATGCTTGATGCGCTTTGTGCTGGCCAATTTTATCTTACTCTCCACCTCCTGAGCGATCTCTTGCTTTCGAGGCTTCACCTGAGGCAATGGCTTGTCTTCCTCCCCTTTAATGTATCTTTCATAGGGCAGGATTAATCTAAAGAACAAACAAACAGTCAGTTAGGGAGATTCTTGGCCCTGGGAGGAAACCTCTCCTGGTAATGGAAAAACATCATGGAAAAGGACCAGGACCTCCTTCGGGGCAGCTGGGAATAAGCAAGTGCTTTGGGCAGGGAAGGATCTCCAGCTTGGAAGTCCAGGGTGGGGTCACACCAAGCATTAGGAGGATCCCCCAGGTGGCATTAATAGATAACAGATCATCAGAGTTGGAAGGGACCTTGTAGGTCATCTAGTCCAACCCCCCACCCAAGCAGGAGACCCTACACCATTTCTGACAAATGGCAGTCCAATCTCTTCTCTCCTTGAAAGTCTCAAGTGATGAAGCTCCCACAACTTCCCGAGGGCAACTTCTGTTCCATGGGTTATTTGTTCTCCCTGTCAGGAAATTCCTCATTTCCAGGTTAAATCTCTCCTTGTTCAGTTTCCATCCATTATTCCTTGTCTGGCCTACAGGCGCTTTAGAAAATAGCTTGACCCCCTTCCTCCTCCCTGTGGCGGCCCCTCAAATATTGGAAGACCGCTATCCTGTCTCCCCTGGTCCTTCTCTTCCCTAGACTAGCCAAGCCCAGTTCCTGCAACCGTTCTTCATATGTTTTAGTCTCCAGTCCCCTCATCATCCTGGTTGCTCTTCTCTGCACTCTTTCTAGAGTCTCAACACCTTTTTAATAATGTCACCACCAAAACTGGATGCAGTACTCTAGGGGTGGTCTTACTAAGGCTTCATAGAGTGGTATTAGTACCTCACTTGATCTCGATTGTATCCCTTTGTTAATGCAATTTAGGATTGCATTAGCTTTTTTGGCTGCCGCTGCACACGGCTGGCTCCTATTTAGCTGGTTGTCCACTAAACATTAGGGTAGACAAGGCCAGTTCCATTCCCAATCCCACCCCCAACTCCTGGCTGTCCTCCTCGTGGACCCCTAACCTCTTCGTCCTGCTCCAAAGGCAACCTGGATTTTGCTTTTGCTTTGAATCGTTTGCTTGCTTTGCTTCTCCTATCCTGGATTTCTAAGTCATCACAGAGATTCTTCCTTTTTCAAAGGACTCCTTGAATGCCACTGTAGGCTACAGTTTTAGGTAAGCATTAAGCAATTCTAAAGGGAATCCTTAGCAAATGGGATGGTTTTAAAAACTCGGGCATTGCATTCGCCCCAGTGTGTCTGTGCATTGGGTGTAGAAGAAAGCCTGACTATGTTAGTGGAGCGTTTTATCCCGGGAAGAGATTTGGGGTCTCTTTTGAGCTGGTTCAAAAAAACAAACAACAACAACATCAAAATGAGATTTTGAGTTGGATCAAATCAGCCCTTACGCTAGCAAACAAGCTACTTATTTTCCTGAACTTTGACCCTTTAAGTCAACCGGACGAAGCTTTTATTTACAGTGCCAATTTTGGGTCACTAAATAGACTTCTCCAATCTGGACCCCCACCTCACCTGTAAAAATTGGGGCACTGAATTTTCCATCGGCAGAGAAAAGATATTTGTGTTCTAGAACAGGGTTCTCCAACCTTGGCCACTTTA